CCCCTGACTTCCAGCTCATTCAGGAGCTCACATGAAAAAAGCATAAAGGTTAATGCAAGAAGTGTGACAATTTTATCTTCTGAACCTCTAGCTGTATAATTTGCATAAATGTTAAACAGTCTTTTGTTTGAAGTATGTGGGATCTGAAATAAATGACAGGGAAAAAAATTATGAGCATTAAATGATTCTACTTAAAAAAACACTTAATCTAGCTTTTCATTTGGTAGAGATAGTAATCACAGGAAGGAAATCCTTATCACTGTTGGAAGAAAGGTATCTTTATCAGCAAAGCAGCAAACAATATCCTATTCTTTTCTCTTCCTCATTAAAATCAATGTCTCCAGAGAAGTGGAAGTCTGATTCAGAATTTCTACAGGTTTTTGATTTTTTTTAAAAAAAAAGGTCAGGAAATGGGAGTAGTGATTCAAAAAGCATTAGCTTTTCATCTTCCTAGGGATGAATGCAACTCTCCACGTGAGTGAGCTCAGTACTTCACTGCAGGACAATGCATACAACCTGTTTGTTTCTACTCCTGCTGTTGCTCTCCCCTCACTAAATGGGGGTTACTCTAGAAAATACAAAGCCACATGGGAACTTAAGTCCACTCCTATTCTAGTTTAGCTACATTAGTCTTCAACATTGAAAACAATATTTCTTAGATACAGTGATGGACATCAAAACAGTGAAAGAAACGGGAAATGGGTTTTAATGAGTGGTACCAGAACCAAGCAATTCTTTGTGGGAGGGGTGGAAGCACTATTTCAATCAGTGAAGAAAGCAATAGCTTTCAAACTGTTTGGCCTAATTCTGACAAAATTAAAGATGATAAAAGTTAGCACTCAACTTCCATGGGCCAAAGCATCTGAACATTTATGCACACTTGAAAACAATGTTTTGTTGTTGTTTTTAATGAAAATTGCACTACCCTTCTCCCTTACAAGAGGCCCCAAACATACCTCTTTACTTTTTCTAGCATGCACTAGCATCCCCATTGTACCCTTTCATGTAATTTCATTCTATTCTTTATGGAAAAGAACAGAAGCAAGGTGCATCTTCAGCCCTAATTCCCGTGTGCGCTTTGTGCTCCGAGTGAAGAATTTCTTCCTCACGTCACATCTCATCCAAATCTCCCCTCCATTTGTTCAAAGCCGTTATTCCTGGTTCCATGGCTACACTCCCTGAGAGAGTCCCTCTCCAGCTTTCTTCTAGGCCAGTTTTATGGGTAAGGTTAGGTGGCAAAACCGCACATCTTTCCAGCTCAAGAACAGGAATTCTGGAAGAGCTCATTTTTTTATCTTTATTTTTGCTGCTGACTCACATCTACCATCATAAACCAGAATGTGCCTTAGTTCCCCTAACATCTGTATTCTTTGGCACTCCTTATTATGAACAGTTAAAATTGCAGATTGTGTTCGTCATTTCAGAGCAATCAGAGATGCACTCTCACATTACCAGCTGCTGAAATTTCCCTACCACGCATGGAGCTGTTTTTTCCTAACAGAGCTTTTTTTTTTTTTTTTTGAATACTTCAACATTTTGTTTGAAAGATATGTGATCTTCGGATCTGTGAAGTATCTCAGGCATAAATGTAAAATTAACAGTACCAACTGATCTAATTTCAAACAACATTACACCAGCTTTTCATCTGGTGGAAATATTAATTATAGGAACTGACAGATAATGGCAGATAATACTGCTGAATCTGGGAAGCAGCAGCAGGTCAGATTGCTACTTATGCATCTTATTTTTTTATTATTATTTTTTTTAAAGCATAAAGCTTCATTTCTCAAGTATCGTGCTCTCCAAACAACTAGCATATATTTATATCTTTGGCAGCCAGTAAACATTCCAGCTAGAAAACCAATACTATGTATCAGTGGAAAGAAAACATCTCCTGATTTACTCTAACATCTCAAATGGACAAACTGAGTTAATATATCAGAGAATCAAATGTAAACTGCTGAACTCCACAGAAAATAACACAATATCATGCCATAGCAAAGACTATTTTTGATAGACATGTCATCTTTAAGATGGAAGAAGTCAATCCTATCAATTTCCAATATACATCTGAAATCCACCAGCTGGACAAAAGTAACTATGTGCAACTTTCATTCAACAGATCAGATATATGTAGGAGTTGATGTTGCAGCTGCGCAATCCATTCAGTAAGGACTAGGGAGAATATTTAGTAATCTTCCTGGTGCTGCCATAGGTTTCTCTTTCCAGATTTCAGTTGTATGACTGCTCTAGCTAGCTGAACTTTCCATGCCTCAGTTTCTCATTTACCCTCCTACCAAATAATGGTTCAAAATTAGTTCAATTGTGAGTTTTTGTTTTTTTTTTTTTTGAAATCATGACTTTCTGTGCATCTTTAAAACGCTTAAAACAATTAAATCCTATTCCACTGGTTCCTTTTGAAGGTTGTAAACTAGTAAATATGTAATAGATTGCAACAGCTTCCAAAAATTACCTAAAAAATTGATATGTTTTCTGGTGGTCAGCTTCAAACCTGAATGTCAATCAACAATTTTGAAAAGGGGTGAATTAAAGTACCCCTACTGAAAAAAAAATAAATCACCTGTAATATACTCAAGGTAACTCCATAAATATCAGAGGCTCAATTATCTTTCAGCACAACTATGAGTTTCACTCATTTTGTTTCACTGTTTTTGTTTGTTTGTTTTTAATTTGTCAATACAGACCACACACGTTGAGGTCCCTTATTTAACCTTAGAAGTATACTCCATGCACAAAGCAGTCTACCACGAATGACGCAGAACTCCTTTGACTCCATTAAAGACCGTAGCGTGTGAGGGAATGCAATGTACTCGGTGCTGTGGGAGAACTGTATACTTTGGACTGACAAGCCACTTTATTTTTACCTTCATGAAGAAAAATATTTTGTCAATTAAGAAGTATTAAGCGTTCCCGTAGCAGCTTGTATTTAGAAAAAGAACACAAATGCGGTGAAAGAATGTGGAGTATGCAACAACAAGAACACAAGTAGTTATCATTTACATTAAATCACAAGCCCAGAGTATCCGAGAAAAGGCTGAAATGGAATTCAGAGAAATACAACCATCTGTGAACGTCTTAATTTCAAGAGGAGTTATTGTCCTTTATATTTTATTTCAAAACTACTCTGTAGTCTGTAGCAAAGAAGGCCATTTCTCTTCATATTCTCTGAAAGAAACTGAAAGCTGAGGGGATTAATTCCTATGCAGCCACTAAACCAGAAATAATTAAACCAAACACATTATGAATAGTCACAAATACCACCCTCCATGCATTTCCATGTTCTTGTGATTTCATTGAAGATAACCGCAAGGAGAGCACTCAAATGGAACTTAAAAGGCTTGCAGTTTATATCCTGTTTTCCCACTAACCTATATGCAGTATCACTGAAACTTCTGGTGCCTCCAGCTGCAGCTGAACCATTTATTCATAGTTTTCATACAACACAGAGTACAGGCAGCCCTGCTTACAAAGGCAGTGAGAACTGTAAGGGAGTAACAGCCTGGAGTATCCTGAGCTGGTCACTGCCTCACACATCTACCTTCACTCTTTATCACGGTGGTGTCAGACAGGTGTTTAAATCAGTACACATATAGGATAGGTACAACATACAGGAATGTTAAAGCCATAAGCAATATACATCAGATATCCCACAGAAATGGTAAAATTCTTATTGTGATTTTTAGCCTAGACCTAAATGATTTACTATTCAAGAGAACTTTTTAAGACTTGACCTGAAGACCTTTTGTTACATTTCTCAGTAGGGCTAGTTTTGATATAGACGATCTGTTGGCAGATACCTAGGGCAGCTGGTTGTTTGTGTACAACTGGACATGAGTCATGACCGGAATTGTAGATAATCAGATGTGAGTGCTCTGGTGCTTGCCTCTAAAGGAAGCATCAGGGTAAGATGACAGCTGCAGGTGGCAGCAAGGGAAAGATACCCACTGAGCTACACCAATCCCTGCCATTGGCTCTCCTTCCATCCCTCACATACACCTGGGAGCAACAACAGCAGCAAGTTGGTTTCTTCCCCAGTTGAAATTGTGTATGCCAATTTTATGGCCACGAGTTTCATAGAATCATCAAATGGCTTGGGTTGGAAGGGACCTTATATAGTTCCAACCCTCCTGCCACGGGCCACCCACTAGATCAGGTTGCCCAGGGCCTCATTCAACCTGGCCTTGAACACCTCCAGGCATGGGGCATCCACAACCTCTCTGGGCAACCTGTTCCATTGCCTCACCACCCTCTGAGTGAAGAATTTCCTCTTCAATTTTGCCTTTTCTTAGAAGGGCAGAACAACAGTTGACGTGCTAGCTGGGAAGCATTTAAACACTTCAATTTTTCCTTAAACAGAATGACAAAAAATTATACTTCAAAAGCAATTTTTAGTAGGTTTACTGGAAACTGGGATGTCCTTCTTTCCAGTAAATCTCAAGGGACTGATCGTTCTTGGCCATCTTCACTACTGAACAAATAAACGAATGAAGCCCCCTTTAACCAAATGCACCACAGAAACCTATTTGGCAACTGTGACTATTACTGATGCTTCCTCCCACTAATTGTATTCTTATAATCAGAGCTCTTAGTAGTACAGCTAGTAATTCTGCAAGGGATACAATGCCACCATCTTTACATTTCCTATTTGTCTCCTGTAGCTAGCTATAAACGCAATTGTTCGAAGGTCACAAATTGTGACGTCAGTGGAGCTGTGAGGGTGTAGCTAGGGACAAGTTTTGACTCACAATTCGTAATGACCAGATCAGCCTAATGACCAGTCAGATACTGAGCTATTTCATCACAGCAGAAAGTGTTTACCATTTTTCTAGAAATTCTTCACATTATTTAAGTAACGTTCATACATTAGTAACAAAAATGAAATGCTGCTCTCTTCCTATAACGCACTAAATAGTTTACTTATAAAATGTAGTGCAACAAACACAATATATGGTAATGCCATGGTACGTTTTCAAACTTACTGTTAGCTGTCAAGATTACACATCCCTGGGCTACGTCTTTTGTCCATGGGAAACAATAAACAGGAACTTGCAGCCATAACCAGTTGAGTTGTTTTTGCAATACCTAAAAATCAAAAAGGTAAGCCATTTACACACTTTTGATCACATATTTTGGTTGATTTTATTATACAATTAAAGACTGGGCAATACAACAGTTTCTTCAGTCCTTCTGCACATAGCAGCTTCTAACTGAAGAGAAGTATGCTTTTGGGGCACTTGGGCAAAAACTTTGGTGTGCCTGAGTTCTCAGCCCAGCTGGCAACATGAGCCATTTCTGAGTTCTACCTCTACTTCAGCTGTTATAAAATAGCAGTAAGATTCCTCACGATACCTATTTTACGGAACTGCCCTGTTTGTCTGCAGAATTTACATCAAATAAAAATGCTCAGACAGGTAGAAACAAAGTTGCATATGAAACCTTAACTGCTCCAAACTTTCATACCTTTTTTTTTTTTTTAACTGCAGTTCTTCTATGATTTGGTATGAAAGAAAAATTTGGCCCTACAAAGCAAGGTGAAAGGTGCCTACTGGGCTTGCAAATTTTGATCCTCTTACTGTCGTACTAAGGTTCTACTGTGAATAAATTTGTAGCTCACCTGCCTAGTAAGCAGCACTTAACATACAGCTGGAACAGAAGCAGAGATACCCTTCCTTTTTGTCCCATTCGTGTGGAGTGTCATAACATGACACTCACAGCTCCCCATAGCTGTCTGACCAGAAAAGTATATAAACAACCATGTGATTACCACAATTCCCAAAACCTGACGAGATGAGGGAAGCAGGCAAGGAAAAAACATGCAAGATGGGGGCTGATGACAGAGGAGTTCACAGGTTAATGGTCTTTGCTGGGTGCGCCTCTGACAACCCAAAGATATCTTTGAGGGCAAATATCATAAGCTGTTCAGAGGATTGATGACACAGATAGTTGAGTATCACAACTGTCCATGGGAAGGAACTGTCCATGTGGAAGGAAATGAACAAGTCATCAGCATCTTTCACACAGTTCACAGTGAACAACACCCACAGACACCTATCTTAGGAATACGTCCTATAGTAAATATGACTTCTTATAGTAAATATGACTAATTCATAGTCCTCCAGTCAGGTACTTTTTTTGTGCTACCCCACTTTTCTGCTTCCAGGTGACTGATTTAATGAACAGCTTCCTGCAATACAAAGTCAACAAGCAATGCTATGACATATCTCCCCAACAGTGTTAAATGCACCTCAACACACAGAACGGCAGAGGCAGGTACAGCTTGACTCAGCAAGGCTGAGATACAGAAGTTACATAGGACAAGGCAACACACATGCTTTAGGCGAGCACTTGAGCTCATTCCACTGCCTTTATGCCTGGATGTTGGATTAGGGCATTGCTGGGTGGGCAGTTCACCAGGCAGCAGGGCAGTGCTGCTCAGGGGGTGCATTAGCTAGCCTTGGCGTAAGAGATGTGCTGGAGAACCAGAGACCACCAGCTCCACAGACTTCAAATAGTGGTGCAGGTCTACAAAACCATTTGTAAATGGTTGTAACTTGGATGCCTGTGAACCCTACCCAAACCTCTATTCTATGCTTTTGAATCAGTTTACAAGGCCACCCAGTAGCAGAACTGCAGATGTGTAGATGTTTCCCAAAGAGCTTTAACCACAAACCTTTGGTGCCGCCAGGAACATCGCAGTGGCAGCTTTACCTCTACGTGTCCAGGAGGGACTCCAGGCCTACCTGTGAAAACTACATGCCTGCTGCAGCTCCCCTGTCGCTTTGTTACCAAATATAAGACTGCCTTAGAAGTACCAGCCCCAACTGTACTACCCATATGGATAACCACAAACAGGAAGTTTCAGATCTAGTTTACATGCAGACATTGAGACACACAAATCAGTAACATCCCGTGAAAATAACATTTACTGCTAGTCAGCTCTTTCCAGGTTTTGCCCTAAATAGCCATGTTTCCTAACATACGCCAAACCTAGCAAGAACTGTATATGGTGTATGAGATGTACATATCTTTCTGCCAAAGCCTGCTTGTCTTATATTTTTCAGACAAATGAAGATGTCTCCTACCTCATCCTTTCCATATTTTAACTGCCATTTTAGTTATTTAGCCACTCAAAGAATTATAATAGTTTTGTTTTCTACTTTATTTCTAAAATATATATAAAAAAATCATCCCAAACCTTTTTTTCAATTTTTTTATTTTTTTATTTTTTTTTATATTTTAGTTTATTTTTTTAAACTAAAATAGCTTAATTTCATCTGTGTTTACATTTGAACTTTTTGTCTGTCGAAGTTCTGCACTGCAAGATAAGTCAACAATGATTTTGAACTCCACAAGGAATTCCCAACTCTCTGGAGTGTTCTTATCATACTTAAAAATCTTTAAAAACTAAACAAAACCAAAACAAACAGCCCCCCCATGTTTACACAGAAGGAGTTCAAATCTGATGTGACTAAATGCCTGTGAAATGTCACGCAGCAAGATGTGCTGGTCATTTCTGAGATGTTGCAGATTAACAGTAAGAACACGCAGAGTATTTTATTGATAGATTCAGCCTGCTACAATTCCCTGAACTGTATCCCTTTGCAAGTTTAGCCTCATTTGGAAGGGTTAAAATAAACAGTTTCCATGATAGAACAAAGTATCTTGTGCACCTTGCTTTTTAATACAACAGCAGCTAATTAAGTTTGAAAAAAATTATCCTATTATCAGAGGACTTGCGAATCCATTACAGAAAACCTTCTATACACACGTTCTGGAGTGAACTTCTTTCTTCCCTGTGTGAATGTGATGTCATTTCAACCCATGACCCTTGAACGTCAGATAATTTATCTAATGAATAAGGGAGAGATAAGATTCATTTATTTTTGCTTGTGTGGCAATACCCAGCCATACTGTACTTTCAGGTGAGAGTTATTTTATTAATCTCTCTGAAACTCAAAAGCAATAATAAATTTAAAAAAAAAACAAAAAAAACAACAAAAAAAACATCTTTCTTCTAACAGATCATTCTGGCAATAGGTTTAGTTCCTCTCTTACTGGTCCAGTGGAGAAAAGAGTCCTAGCCTACCTCCATGGACCTGTTTCTCATTATTTCTGGGTGTGGCAGAATAATACTTTTGGGAACACGCTGCTACATTTCCAGGCAAGCAGCAGCAAAAAAAAAAATAAAAAAAAAAATCATTGTTTCTTAGAAAGCCTTCCTGAAATTACTTCTGTGAAAGGAGTATTTTTTTCTTGAAAGTAATTGAATGTACTTATTGTGCAGGCACAATATTTCACTTCAGTAGTAGACAATTGGAGTGAACTGAAATCTCACCATGTGGAAACTCAGTCCTGCCTGCCTACGTCCAAAACTGAACAGATTGCTGGATGTCTTGCACCTTCTAGTTCTTGTAAATTCAAAAAATTAATAAAAAATTTTTCTCATGTTTGGAATCCAGATGTTCATGAGGATCCAAAAATGGAACCTAGAAGTTGAACTCAATTCTGCCAAGCTGAAGAAAGTCAAAATTTGACTTACGTTGTTAAAATTTGGTTTTGAAACAAGGACAACAAAAAGGAAATAAATATGTATGAGGCAATATATATTAGAAGCAATCAACTTGTTTAACTTTTAATATCCTCCCTTCTCAATTATTTGACTTGTTATCTATAAAACAGACCATCACAAGTTAATGAACTCTCCAGGAATATCTTGAGTGAATCACATCTGAATACGAAGCTTGCCCCTCCGCTTCCTTTCTTTCCTAGCTGCCATCATATGCCTACTTCTCATTCACATTCACAACTTCCTAGCAAGCTACGGCAATCCCAAAAAGCAGTAGGTAAGTGCAGTGTTATGTGAATAAGTGACTGTAATGCTACAGACACAATTCTTCCCAGAAGGCTACGGAAAATTAATGTTCCCTGTCTTGGCTATTTGCAGTACTCCTGCTGATAGCTGACAGACCCAGTGGGCCTGAAAATGACTTTTCATCTCCCCTAAAGTCTGAGGAAGAGGAACAAAGAAGATGGCTGAGCTCTTCTAGTTTTTTAGCTGCTCTGTGTGTTTTCACACTGCTCAGTGTCAAAAGATTTGAGTTTCTTTGAGACAGATGGAAATAATAGAATGAGGACCCTGCACTAAGTTATAAACCCTGCAGTGAGTAATAAACCCAGGCAGCAGTTTTGGAAACCTCTGGCTTAGAAGTCAAGTACTGGAATATGAAGCAGGTCTTTCCCCTACTCTCCACCTTGACTACTTGTGACCTTGCAAAATAGAATTTCCCCTGCATTTCCAGATAAGTTAAGGCAAACGTGTGAAGCAGAGTCAGGTAAAATGCTCCTATACGAGCACATTTAGCTAGATGACAAGTGCTATGGATAACAGATCTACATCTGGTGGCTATGGCTATTACCTCAGAAAACATTTCATGGCTAGAAAAGGAACTGTAAAAATATGTCATCCTGCACCCACAAACAACAACTAGCTGATTTCAGAGAATGAGATCACAATCATTTCTCACCAGGATTTTCTCACTGGGCAAGAATCTGCTATTGGAGCTTTGTTCGCTAAAGGAAAGAAATAACAATCAAAATTAGTGTCCCAAGAAGTGAAAGAGAAACTTCCTGTTGCCACTAAGTGCAGTGTTCTTGTTTACGTGTCTGAAGGAAATGGGGAAATCACCCCAATATACCTAAAAAGACTTTTGGGTAGAATGGATACATGCTGCTCCTCTGTATTGGACTTTCAGTCTCTCTTAATCTTCATCCCACGGAACTGTGTGTACAGCAGCTAAAGCTCTTCCCGTTAGGTGAAAGAGGATCTACTTTTTTGCATGCCTGATCAGGCTGCATAAAGGAAAAAGGTTCATTGTAAGCAAGTGAGTTGTAATAAGAGTAATGCACGTAGATATCAAGGAGTGGTCCCTGCTACTCACCCCCTTGCAAAACTCATTGAATGCTCACAAGCAATAACTACTGACACACATTTGAGTTCTCAAACAGTAAAAAAAAGTATTAGCCGCTTTATCTTCAAACTCCAGTTCCCAAGAGAGGGTAAAATAAGCCCACCCTTTCAATTC